AGTGGATTCCTCACTGAAATGAGTGGCATAAGCTCGTCACAGTTCCAGCCTCGCAATGCAAGAGTCGATACAGTGTTCGTGTATAGCTCTAATGATGAAGGATCGTGATTACTCAAAAGGAGGTCCTTCAACTGGCAGGATATGACTACAAAAATGTCGGCATCTTCAGTAGTTCTACACCAGTTTATCGCAGCTTCCGCTAACCTCCATGGCGGCAGTCTTCTCACAAGGTTCCTCAAATAAGAATTGTCGCAACCTCTTGAGGCTCTTAGACTATCGATGAAGTCGAAAGCGAATCTCGTACTACACCTTGGAGTGCTCGTATGCAATAGTATCCATTCAGCCACTGGCTTGAACACACTCTCAGGGAACACGCCGCTACGCCACAGATCAATCAGAAAATCACCGCCTTTCTCAAGGGCAGCCAATGCACTAAGGAAGTTGGCGAGAGGCGTCTCAGTGACAACCGCCAGTTCAGTCAACAGCTTTCCTCTGTAAGTCTCGTTGCGCACTCTTCGCTGTGCTCGAGACGGCCCACACCAAAGCATCGCTTCAGAGCAAGAATACAATGCTCTGGCGAGCAACTCCGCACACGCATTGTTTATGTCCATGCCGCCCTCTTGTATGAGATAGATTATAACAGGAATAGGGGGTAAGTAATGCACGGTATTGAGTAGCTCCACGATGGAATGCTCGTGCTTCTCGATGAGGCTCCGTACAAGATCGTGCTTTTCTTCACGGGTGTATCTGTCTATCGCCGATTCTATAAAAGCCCACTTGCAGTTCCCATGAATGTCGCTCGTCAGTATTCTGTCGATCAGGCGACGATCACATATATCTATCATCAATCCCATCATTTGCTTAACTGTCGTACTGGCTACTGCTTCGAGGAAGGCTGCCAGCAGAGTATGACGCGACCTTTTACACAGCATCACTATTTTCTCGACAGTCTCCGTCCTCGTCGAAGGTGCGCCATTCCTGGTGGTTGATACGACCTCTGTAATCACCATACCATCTTTTTGGAGTAGTTTCATTAGCTCAGAGCGAACAAGTCTCGTCTTGCGTTTGGCAATTGCCGATAAAAGAGTTTTCAGATCTTCCACAGTCGCTTGTGTGATAGCCTCGAGAACTGTCTCGATATTTGGAGGCGTTGGTGACTCGATGAGATTCCTATTGGGAGTTGGGAGGTGCGCTAGGAAGAGCTCTCGCGGGTTCATAATGCAACAGATAACTTTACGTCGATGACCTCAAATCTAAATGTCCGATTTTTTCACCTCACTTGAATCACTCAACTCGAAGATAGCGCAATGTTCACGAAGATGTGTTCGGCTATCAGAACATGACCCCAGGTGTGGGCGAATACACCAGCTTATGGGATTCAGGACTGAACGGTCCCAAATGGGAGCCTACTGCTCTTAGTCAAGCGCCGCTTTGGCAAAACGCCTCCAAGTGAAGACACAATCGAGTGTGACGCTAGCAATAGTAGGTATGTCCATTGTATTATGGATGGTATCTGTATCGATTAAGTGGCTACGGCTACGCATATACACACGATGTGTAACATACCATGGCTATCCTGGTCGGGTGTACTACGATGAGTACCGTTCGACAGTTACGACGTCCGAGACCTATACGAATCAACGTGTCACAACATTTTAATTGCATAATATCGATTGTTCTTCATGGAAGGGCGTTGATGTTTTCCTCTACGAATCTCGATGGGCAAAAAGTCACTGTATGAGCTGTCGCGGGCATTCAACAAGTTTTCCAGAATGATACAGCAACCAGTTTTCGTGCGAGCTAGTTCCACTGTTCGCGAATTGAACTACGATGTTTTCCGTCACACCCCACTAGAAGAGCTACTCGATATCATCAATAGGAAAAATAATTCGCAACCACCCGTGAGTTCAGAATCTTAATCGCGAAGAACGATGATGTCAATTTCAGATCGTCGTTCTTCTCGTAAGGGCATGGCTCAACGCATGAATGTCTGAGCTCCAAGTCCCCCTTCCTCCTGTGGGGCGACGACTGTGGACGAATATGCTACTGCCGCATTTTCACACTACGGTGTGAACCAAACCGTAGTAATATTTCCAGCGCCTTCAACTTTTGGGAGTTCGAAAGTCAACTTTGAGTAATAGAATACAAGTTGAATAATCGATTACAATGGCGTTCGCGATCGTCATCAGCGCATGATCCTCGCGAAGTCTGCTTTTGATTCTCTCATGCATAATTCATTGAATGAAGCTACTCCAAGGGAATGAACGACGGCATATCGTACTCTGCCTGCTCTCTTTGGGTGGTCTACTAGCGGATACAATCAGTGATGACAGAACGTTGCAAGGTAATCTCGACGAGTCAGCTATCTCGGACGTATTATCGATCCTTATAGTAGTGGTGGTGGTGAGAAAAGCAGTGCAGGGGGGAATATATGTTCGCTTTTCTCAGCTGAGCTCTGGAACTTTCTCACTGTATTAAAGGAGTTTATATATTAACTAGAATTGAAGTGAAAAAATCCAACAAGAAATTCCAAAAATTTCCCCAAAATTTTCATTTTGTCATCGACACATGTGGCTGACCATGTGCATATTTTTTCACACTGGAGAAAACATATTCTTAAAATAGGAGTTAGCTGTGGGTGTATGAAAGTCTTAGCGAATAATTTTCCAAAGTGCACGGATCAGGCAAATGACTTGTTGGACGTTCTGTCCACATCCACAACGCAATTCGGGTCTCGGCGGGAATAGTCGAATAGCAACTAGCACGCTCGTGGGCACAGGGCCCGTGTTCACTCGTGGGATCGATAAAAGGCTATATGCTGCTATAGTATAGAAATCCCGTATTCGAAGTCGTTGCTAACGAGAATGGTATGTTGTATTCAGGGATGGGATCACATGCTGGGCGTTCACTCACGGTCCAGACACCTCAAATTGCTCTTATAGCGCCAGTCGGCAGCAACCTGCCTGACATCACTGCCACTACCTCAGCGACGATGTGAGGGCTTGAAAGGGGGGATGTGATTTGAGCGAGGTGTGGTATGCAGGTATGCAGGAGCTGTCTACTCTACGATGATATTGTCGGCCACTGGAGGGCTGGGGACGGACTCTACTGAGGTACTCTTGAGTTAGGGTGATGTGCTACCTACCATCATAACAGTATTGAGATTAGTACTGGACGGAATAATAATAGTGTGTTTGTGGTCGGGCTGAGTGTATACAACGTGAGATCAGCTTATTTGGTAGAGCGCTGTCTTGTCTTCTAAGAGGCACAGGTTCGAATCCTTCATGGAGCACTTTTCAGATCCGACTCAAGTTGGTCGACTCTAGCGTTTCCTCATGCTCGACGTTGGAGACAGCGAGGACATCCAGCCCTTTGGACGGCGAGACGGGACCCGATGGTGTACCAACGTCGACCTCTAACTATTGGTCCGATGTCCACTTTGATGAGGTAATCATCTTGAGATCAAATTCTTAGTTCGCTCACCTTGGTTGACATTATATTCGTCAAGTTGGATATATGGCAGATCATCACTATATGTAAGCCTTGTTGGAGTTCCAGCATAAAACGCTGCTAAGTTCGCGTGAAATACAAAATTTCCACGAAGTTTGCTCGAGAAAAAATACGCGCCTTAGATGAGAAGTTCGACAAAGGTTGTCTCTATTG